TCGCCATCGCCATCGCCATCGCCATTGCCATCATCTTCATCATCATCATCATCACCATCGTCAACAACATTAACCTCACCATCGTCTTCTTCAACATCATGATAATCATCAACATCCTCGCCCCCGTCCCCGTCCCCGTCCTCCTCCTCGTCATCGTCATCGTCATCGTCATCGTCATCGTCATCGTCATCGTCATCGTCATCGTCATCGTCATCATCACCACCATCATGGTCATCAGCATCATCAGCATCAGCATCAGCATCAGCATCAGCATCAGCATCAGCATCAGCATCAGCATCAGCATCAGCATCATCATCGTCATCATCATCATCATCATCATCATCATCATCATCGTGGACGTGAAGCCTGAACACATGCACTATTGCCCTGCTGTCCTGGCCACGCTGCTCGCGCTTCTGCGCTAAGTAAGCGCGTGCTGTGCTGAGGACATGGCGGCGCACTGCCACCGATACCTTAACTATCCCTAAGCGTCCATGTGCCCAAACAGTATATGCTTTGGCCTTTAAATAGTCATTACATAGCTACTTTGGGGCCAAAGTATAATTATACTAATTGGGTACATGGACCCTTAGGGCATTGCAGAGTTGGGACTGCAATTCCCCTAAACCCAAAACCCTAAACCAATGACAGAGTGAGGCTGCCAAGGCTACGGGACTCCTCCGCAAAACAGTGACCGCTCAGCGGCATGAGTCTGCATGAGTTTAGGAGTTTATAGGGTTGTAGGAAACTTCAAACGGCAGTCGCGGGTTAGGGTTTAGGGTCTAGGAGGGTCTGGGGTTAAGGACATGAGGCTACCTTAACCTACCAAAACCTACTTTTTCGTAGAGCCCTATAAATTCCGTATTAGGGTATATAATAAGAGCCTACAGAAAAGTAAGGTTTGGTAGTTTAAGGTAGAGTAGACCATCTCGCCCCGGCAACACGCAAGCATGTGCCGTTGCTGCGCAATGACAACCCAGAGAGCCCAATACCCCTTAGTTAAGGAACATACCTTAAATTACCGGGGCCTTCATACTATGATTTAAGGTATATTCCTCAATTAAGGGGTATTGGGCTCTCTGGAAATGCCCTTCAAAGTAAACCTCAAGCCAAGTCACTACTGGGTCGACTGAGGTGGTGGAGTCGCTAGAGGATGCGCTGCTCCTGAGGAGCAGGACTGTTGGTGTTGAGGGTTGCGGGGGGCCGATAAGTCCTGGAGTTGCAGTCCCAAGCAAAAGCGGAGGTTCTGAACCCCTACCAATAGAGTAAAGCCCGCCGAAGAGTAGGTTATTGCATCCTCAAGGTATCGTAGACCGAAGCATCAACGACTCCTGTTACACTCCGGTGTACCTCTAGTACATAGTACTTTAATTTCCATGGTGGTTCTTTCTTTGGGTTGCCTTACCTGATCCCAAATATAAAGCCCTGATTGAAGCCCCCACCCCCCCTCACCCGTCCTTGCAAGGCCCTGATATTCGGAGCTCCCTACGATCACACTAAACCCCTAATCCCCAAACCCCTAAACCCTAAACCCCTAAACCCCCAAACCCTAAACCCTAGACGTTACTGACTATGACGCGTGGGCTTCCGAGCCAGATGTCGAGGTTAGGATCCTTGTCTGCGTCCTCTGAGCACGGCCATCTATAAAGCACGGCCTGTCAGAGCCCAAGTTCAGGGCGACCTCCAACACGCAAATGGAAAGCTCTATAAGATGTTAGGAGGGTTTAGGGTTTACCTTAACCTACCAAGACCCACTTTTTTGTAGGTTCTGATTAAAAATCCAAATATGAGATTTATGGGGACCCTGCCAAAAAAGTAGGTTCTGGTGGGTTAAGGTAGGGTTTGGGGTCTAGGGGGAACTTTGGTTTCTCCAGTACCCAGACCGGAAGAATTGCATGACCCTGCGGCTTCCTAAATCCCCAACCCCTGCAACCTGAAGTGCCAAATCGTCGTGCTTCGCTTGTCGCACTGTAGCAATCAACACCATATAAGCCCCTTTTGAATCGTAGGGTTTCAGGTGTAGGGCTCAAGGTTCAGATCCCCACATCCCTCGGAATGCTGCCCCTTACATGTTACTTGGAGGTTCATGGGTAGTTATAAGTGGGGTTATAAGTAGGGTAAGTATAGATATAACCCATATTAGGGGACTTATAACCCTACTTATAGCTACCCATGAACCTCCAAGTACTCCTGAGCCCTAAAACCCTAAAGCCTCAACCCCGGATTGGAGGAAACTACAGGTGGGGAGTTTAGGGTATATAGGGCTTCTATAAGGCTTCTTAAGCAGAGGTGGTAGAGGAGCTTGCGGAGGAAACTCTGCCGGCGGCAAGTCTGCTGGCGGCGGAGTCAACGGTGGTGGCACCGGCCCAGGAGCGATCCTCGGCCTCAGTGGCCGCGGCCCCGCCGGCGGGATCACCACCTTGAGCTTCTTAAGCGAGGTCCCGCTGGCTCCTTCGGCTTCACCGGCTGCTTCAGCGTGTATTCTTTCGGAAGCGGGCTTTCCGCTGGCTTCGGCATCGGCTTCACTGGTGGAGGGCCCTTGACCCGCCTCGCCTGCTAGGCCGAGCCGATGCTCTGGGCTCCGCCGGCACACCACAGCCAGAACTTTTGCTGCTTACTGCAGCCATCCCAGCTTTGTCTCGTTGCTCCTTGGCTTTGGCTTCTCTGCGAGGTATATAGACCTTCTATAAGGC